AAGCAGGCAAGATGATTGTCTCATCCATCGCCTTGGATCAGCTTTCACTCTACTGCCCATATTCTGCTCTTCCTCAGCCCTTTCTCATCATTTTCGGCTACACATTTTTGTAGTATCTTCTCCAGCTTCTTCCCACAAAAGAGGAGGCATGCTTTTAAGTGTTTGTTTCGTCAAGGAGTCTAGTTAAGTGCCGTATTCTCAAGCAGGCAAGATGATTGTCTCATCCATCGCCTTGGATCAGCTTTCACTCTACTGCCCATATTCTGCTCTTCCTCAGCCCTTTCTCATCATTTTCGGCTACACATTTTTGTAGTATCTTCTCCAGCTTCTTCCCACAAAAGAGCTGAGGAGCAAGTTTCTTGCTCCCCACTGTACAGGGCAGATGTATTTCACAGAAGACCTTGCTACAGCCAGCAAAGGCTCTGGAGAGAGCTAGGTCTTAAGGTTTCTCCACAAGACTCAGCTTGCTTTGAGAAAGCAGCCTTTAGCAGCCAACCAGAACTGCGTTTGTCTTCCTGCAGCTAGCATAAACTGGAGAAGTTTATACTGCTATGTTGTGTGTCCTGGCTAATTCAGAAGAAATCTGATCATGTAAAAACACCTGGATGAAATCCATATCATTGAGTGGTCTAGAACTAATCATTGTGAAAATCAGACATTCCTGTTAAAACATGCTGCACTTGAACTCCTGTCTGTACGTCAGCAGCAGTTTCCCGTGGAGAAACAGTGTTAGGGAGCTTTTGCAAGAGTAGACTGTGGCTGAGGCCTTACCCTGCAGAGTTTTGGGAGCAGAATTAATCTGCTGGGAACTGACACAGCATTTCTGCCACAAGAAGGATTTTCTGCACATTTTTGCTATGGTGAGAGTCAGGAACAGGAAAAGTCACGAGCATCTTAAGGAGCTTGAGATGAAGCTTAATATTGCCTGCAATGTTCTGGGGGGGAACTTCGCTGCTGGGGAAGGAAGAGGTATTGCTAGCAGCCTGAACTGGATCACAGTTCCTTCCCAACCTCCTCACTGGAGTATCTGTTTACTATTAAAGCTCTTATGGTTGCAAATCACAGCTCAGGTTTCTCGTTAATAAATATCAACAAAGGTAAAAAGAGGTGTCTAGCATAGAGTTAAAAGCATGGAAACAGCTGAATTTGTGAAGCTCTAACCCTGCTGTGATGTGGATCCCTCCTGTCAGAAGTCACAGTGTACCTTTAAGGGCACCAGCCATTTGCTGTGGTAAGAGCTGCTCTAACACTGGGAACAGTCTCCAGAGAGAATCAGATTCTTGAAAGAAATCTCCCAAGCTTTCAACAAATTTTCTCTATGATCACTGGATCCCAAGACAAGCCCAGGCTGTGTTTATTACAGTTCAGGAACATGGAAATGGAGACAAAGGCAAGTGATCGCTACAGTTGTAGATTTTGTAGTCTGGAACAATTGGCTGATTTGTACCAGCTGTTTATATAACATTTCATATAATATTATATTAATAATTATTATATATGATATGTATTATATATTGTATTAATGGCTGATTATGTATTATATTATTAAACTGACAGTGACTTCTTAGAGCCATTTCCACAAGCTGGAGCTTCTTATGGTCTTGGGAGATCATTCTGCAGCCAGAAATAGCTGAAGTACAAAGTAGATCGAGGTATGCCCAACCTTTGATTAGCTGTGTTTCTCATGCATTCTCCTGACAAACACACGTCGCCTCTCCCAGAATAGGGCTATGTGAATTAAGCTGACTATCCGGTTGTTCCTTTTTTTCTTTCCCACTATAGGTATGGGAAAAAACCCAGTGTATGCTGCCTAGAATATGGTCCTATTGAGAACATTTCCAAATATTATCTCTATCTGCCGTGAGAGAGAACATCCAGGATGATTTTTTCTATGCTATTTTGAACACACATCAGTTTATGATAATACTCATTAACTACTATTGAAAATTTTATTTGAAGAATACTGAGTGACAAATACTACACAGGAAAAGATCAGTCATCAGGTGCATAAGCAATGTTTTAATGGCTAAATGGCTTTTTACGTAAAAATCAAAGAACAATATCTGAAGGCTGAGGATGCTAAATTATATCAGTGTTTTCTGACCATTCTAGTAGATCATAACGTTGAGTTCCTGAGTAAGTGGGGCAGAAATCCATAAAATGAGTTTCTGTGAAAAAAATAGACACAAAAATAATGAACAACTTTATGTTAACATAAAAATAGATCAGCTCAAAATGGAGAATAAGAAGGGAAGCTTGAGCTTAGACCTTCATGGTTCCCTTAACCTCATCTGGTAGGCAAGACTGACTTGGTGGCAGTATGTATCTTTCAACTGCTGTATCAAATTCAACATGCCTTTTAGAAATTCAGGAACAGTTTAAAATTAATTAATAACATGAATTAAATATAAAATTATATATACAATACCTGTCCTGCTCACTCTGTTCAATGTTAAATTTGATGTATTTTATGCTACCCGCATAATTTCCATTTTCAGTACTTCACCAGTTTTATCTTTAGGTTCCAGAATTAATAATCTCTTAAAATGCATGGAATCCCTTCACATCTCTTAGCTATTTGTTTGCCCACCCGCAAATCCATGTTAACATCACTCTAACAGTCTATGCTTATATCACTTCTTCAAAGTATATAATATTTTAATCTTTCATCAGAAACAGTTCTCTACTACTACTTGGTAAGTAGGAATCCCACTTCTTGAATAATTGGCCTTTTATTCAAATACAGGGCCAGATCCAGACAAAAAAAACCTGTAACCCCATCCAAACGCTAACACGAAAGCGCCAGGCTGCCAGAAAGCCCGCTCCAGACTGCACTGCTGCACAGACAGTGGGAGCCTCTCTGCACTTCCCAGCAGAGGATGCAAATGGAAGAACAAGGAGAATCTTCCTTATGCCCAGGCAATTTTATTGTCAGCACAAGCCTGGTCAACAGAAGTGCTCTTTCAACATCCCTGCTGCAGTTACAATACAGTTCCTGTGGCTCTTAGGGTACGACAAAAGAAAAGAGACTCCTAATAAGAGGAAGATTCTGTGATGTTACAAATGTCAGATCAGGGTAGAGCTGTATGAATCAGACAGAAAGAAGTGGCTTATTACTAAGCAAACTGTTTCTATTTATATACAAATAACTATGGCTCAATTATGCACTTAAGCACTGCTTTTAGGCAAATTTGCTTTCTTGTAAAGCTAAAGCAATATGGTAGAAGTTACTTTCTACTACATCCCTTCAAACAGTACAGTCTTTGTCCTTGTTAAACTATTATACAGTGTGTAATCTCATTAAGCCTGTGAGAAAGTGACAAATTTGCCCTTTAGATTTTGGTATTTTTTTTAATTACACGGATTGTAAGTTTTCAAGATCTAAACCCAAGCTGCTACTGCCTTTTTTTTTTTTTTTTTTTTTTTAGCAGAGAGTATAGGTAATGGCACTACAACATTTGTACAGAGATGGTGGGAGAGCTTTGACTGAATCTCTTAGAATTGTAAGAGGAGTATATTTAGCTGGTTTAAAGAATGTAATTTTTGTGCAGTTTTGGGCCTTCCCTACTACAGCAGCTTGATGGTTTTTTTCTCCATTATTTGAAGTAATTCTTAAGTCATTGAGATCATCTTTTGTGCTTAAATCAAATTTTAAATGATACTTTTGTGACAAGCTTTTTAGTCTTTCTTAATCATCTTTTTATGTGATGCTGTTAGAATGCAGTTATCTTCTGGATTTCTGTGGTTCGTGCCTTCAAGCACATCTCAATGGAGCATTTTCTTTACCTTGCCACATTTATGTTGCTTTCAGCTTGCTTAGAGGCAGTTTGGCTGTTAAACAATTTCTTCCCTTGAGGCAAGACTGATTACACTTATTTATGACATTGTCTCTGAAATTGAGTTTTTTACAGTTCTCTAAGGCAGAAATTTATTCTCAGCAATTTTCTTCCTTTACAGATTCCTTCAATAAAATAAATATTAGAACCAGGTGTGTATAATGGCGATCACACTTTGGTTATAAATGAACTTAACTCGTTAAGACAAGTGGGTAGAGTACCATAAGATGTGACATCCATTGCTTGTTGCCTCAGTTACCGTTTATTGAATGATGAGTTAGTGGCATCTTATAGTGTAAGTACTGGGAGCTCCCTAGAGGCAGCCCAGTGCCGAGCTATGAGTACCACATCTCATACAAAGTGTGCATAACCCACTTCAGCTTGGTGGCTGGTTACAGATATGGGACAAGTGACCAGAGCAAAGGAATTTTACTCAGTGTTGCTCCTTTTGTCTGTTCTCCTGTGGAAAAGGAAATTGGGACCATAGAGGCTGTTGCAGATGTTTATTAGGGGTGTTCAGTCCGTCCCCTCTGGGGCATCTCTTTGTCAGTGCTAGAAGAGCACTGCACAAGCAAGTAATGCATTTTGATCTGGGACACTAAGGTTGAGCACTTTAAGATGCTGCAACTGTAACTGTTGTCTCACTGTAGTGCAAGTTTCCTTAGCAACACAAAGGTACATCAGAGATTTGCCTTTCCCTCCTTTAAAGATCGGGAGACACTCATTAGACCTAGCTACACTGTAATAATTTTTGGACTCTAAGTAATTGTGAGAAAAGATCTCCACCACCTCTTTTCAGCAGCGGATAAATGACTTTGACAAGTTTTCTCATTTTATCAGAATGCTAATAATGCCCATAAAGCTGCTAACGTTTGTCCCTGTTTGTGGAGCTGTATCTTCTTTTCATTATTTCATTAGTTTAAAAACTTGTACAAGTGGCAGATGTTAAGTAAAAGAGAGTGTATGTGTAATAGCAAAGATTAACGTTTCCTAAAACAGCTCTTGCTATTCCTTTTTTTCTTCCCCCCCCCAAAACTCAGACTGTTACATCAAGAATTTGTGTCTGGTTATACTTGAAAATGTAAAGGGGTGTGGATGATAAACTGTTCATTGACTGTCCCATTTTCCCTGAGGTTTTTCTTAACTACTCAGTGCAGCTCTTACCCCATTCAGCTCATAGGAGAAAGCATCTCCACGGACGGCTCTTCCATTCAGAGCAACAGCATGTGGTCTCAGTTTCAGGCCAAGAATTGTAATTTTGTTGTACTTCAGAGTGTCAGCCCCTCGGTAGCCATTTTTAAGTATTTCTGTCTTCAGGTTTCCCTGGAAAAAGCCGCAGAGGAAATTTTAGGATCCCGTCAACTCTTTAAAGGTGACTTACTGCATACTTTTACTGTTGTGGTCTCATCTTTGTCAATGAATATGTAGGATGCTTCCAATGTAGACAGTAAAGTCTGAGATCGTAAAGGAAAAATAACAGTCATGTTAATTTTCACGTAGGAAAGGTTTCGTGTATGATTCTAAACTAATAAAGTAAGAAACAAAATAGCATTTACAACATTCATTTGGAATCTTCTTGGACATGTTTTTCCTACTTGTAGTCAATGCAAATTTGGTTCTTGTACCCGTTGACAGGGTACAATGGCACATGCAAAGCCAAAATCCAGATAGGGAGATTCTATTAGTGACCTTAAGGCAGATTTAATTAACATTCACAACTAACTGCTTTAAACCATTAACATCTTCCACAAACATCAGCTGCTAGATATTCTGCCCCTATTTTATGTTCCACATCTCCACAGCTCCCACTAGAAATCTCTGTTATATAGGTCCCAGCTTTAAGGACACTGAAGGAACACCGTATGTCCACAGAGCTTTGTTTGTTGTAATTCTTATTTACTATATATCCCATATTTAGGAATGTACCAAGAGGACATACGAAGTCATTAAACAAATTCACTTAGATCACCAGTGACAGTAATTTCCCATACAAGCAATGAAGAAGGATCATTGCATTTGTTATGTGATCAAAGCTGTTAAGGAAATAAAGATGAATTACACTGCTCAGGAAATGATGAATTGCTATGCAATCATGACTTTTTAAAAATACACCAAGGAGAAACCCATGATGGAACCTTTTGCATAAATTAGCTTATGTTATTTCAATGGTGCGTAGTAGGAGGGGAGCAGAAGCTAGATCAAAGTATTTGTAACTTAGGGCTCTGCTTAGACTGCTTATTTCAAGCATCCGCACTAAAAATAAGCCACAGCACATTAATTTAAACTGCCTAAATAAGGAATGTTGGCTATTATGGAGCAAATGGGGAGAGGCCTCTAAAAGCCTCTGGAGAATTTGTCAGGGTATTTATATATGGTGTCTTCTCCCCATTGGCAGAGCTCCAGCATGGTTGGAAGTCCAGTATAGAGAGACCATCTCCCTACAGTGATTTATTGCCATCTCAGGTGTGGCTAAGCAGGAGAGCTGGCTCAAGGTGGCCACACAGACTTGGTAAGCTCAGTGTGATGCTGAACTCAGTGATTACAACTGTATTAATAAATAAGGTTGCATTCAAGCTCTGAGGCCCTGACCCAGAACTCTGCAGTAGATACCACTGTGCCTCTGACAAAGGTCTAGAACTAAAGGTCTTGGGTAGATAGGAAGGAGATGGTCCAGGGGAATGAGTGACCCTCTACTCTGCTCCCCAAGCATCTAGTAGTTAAAGCAATTGCCCAGGAATGTCCTGAGTTCTCAATAGAGGGAGGGAACTTATCACTCAAAGCCCCATAAATGCAAAGCAAAAAGAAGTCCTGGATACGAGGCCAGAAAACAGCACTTCCTCTTGCACTTCTGAGCAGCAGAGTCATGATTTTTCTTTCTTACTGTCTTGCTCTGGTCCTATGAACTTCACC